ATCTGACATATGATAGTTAGCCGCTGAGTTTTCTCCCTCCTAATTAATTCACCAGATATTATCTTATCTCAAACTGTCGACTTATAGTCAAAAGCCAGGACGGGTTAATAAACACCGGTGAATTATAATCATAAAGCTTTATAAGCCTCATCAAATAAACCTTGAAAAGAAAATCCGTCGAATAAAATCAAACGAAAAACGAGGCTTTTCATGGGCTGCCAGGCTAAAAATCGAGTGCTTTCGCGGGCCGCACAACCACTGAGTTAAACCTGTATACAAACCTTATAAGATGGACCTCACATAACCAATCATCGTTTTAACTTTGACAAGCTCAGTGTCTGCATAAGATTGACTTGTCAAACGTTCGACGGGTCATTTCAGGATTACCTGGGCAGAGTGGCTTACTTAAAAAGGCAGGATAACCCGGGGGTTTAGGTGAATACACCTGGCTTCCAAGTGTGGATTCTAAGCCTATTACAAGGGTTATAAAAACTCTTTGTTCTTTAGAACAAAAGGCTGACCTCTCCACTATTCCTAATTCAACCTTGCTATACGTACGATTAATTCCTGTCCAACAATATACGATTAGACACAACCATAGATGATTCAGTTTGCGGGCCGCAGTATTCAGAGATGATCTTCTGTCTGGTCGTACCGTTGTCCGACGCGATAGCATCGTACGCAGAGTAGTTTCGTTCCTAATTCTCTCCTTCTAGTTACTAATTGCTTCCTAGAAACTACGTTAGTTGTTTTGGTAAATCATGATTGCTTCCCACAAATAAATATGGAAAATAATGCTTCCTGCTAATTACAGATTTGCTTCCACTAAAGAAATAAAGAAAATTAATCGTTTATGTAGATTTTTTTGCAACGCAAACTGGTATGGAAACATTATTTTATCCATGGAAGCGCATTTGATGGAAACATAATACTTGAAACTAGGACGTCTAAAGTGAAACGTTGGGTTATACAGAACATGTAATCATTGAACACTTGAAGCATCGGGAAGCAATGGTGGAAGCATGCCTGATTAATGTGTAAGATAAGCATGATTTTTATGGATGCATAGGAAGCATAGTGTGCTATTGTTAGAAGCATGATTAGTGTCCAACCGGAGCTTTGTTCAACTGTGTAGGAAGCATAAATATTTTGTAGAACCTCCATCGCTTGGTTATTATGTAAACGAAGCTTCATCTTTGTGGGTAGGAAGCAAAAATGGACTTGGCTGTGTGCATCATAACTATGCAGAGGCCGGGTGTGTGCTCATTGTTCTATGTATCTTCTTGATGCTTCATTTTGAGCAAATAAAATCCATCTTTTATCGAAAAAAAGGAAACAAAAATGGACATATTTTGGATACAAAATTTAGAAGATGGTGCAACATACATATGCGACGTAACAATTACATATACTACAAACAAAATGACCATGTGCTTCCAAAGCCGATGGTCGATTACAAAGTTTGCTCCAAGATGTGTAACGCAACAATTATAAAGTTTGCTTCCAAGCTGATGAAGAGTACAATATCACTGAGATTCTCAATTTCTTTCCACACGTCATGCCCACCAATGACCACCGTTCCATGCTCACCGTCGGCAAAACATTTTCTTCCACTCCCGTAGGCATTGGGGAAATTTAGGAGGCATGAATTGTTTGGTTTGACTTCAAATAGAACGCCTACAAAACAATATGAATAATGAAAATGAAGCAAACTGAATATAATCGAAGAACAAGCCTCAAACATATGAAGGAAACTTTTGAAGAAACACAACCATGGTGCTTATGAAGCAAACTAAGCGTATGAAGCATGAAATTTTGGAAGCATTGTATCATGCAATCTAACATAATCTGGGTAGTGGAAGCATAGATTTTTAAAAGTGGGATTACCAAAATATTTATAGGTAGTCATTCAAAACCAGATCTGGGAGGGGGGTGATAGGCATCTTCTCCATAATATGTGGGAAATTAGGAAGCAACAATTGGTTGTGCATAATACATACAAAGCAAAGTTGAACACACCTATACGGACCGAAGATGCAAAAGTAGGGCACGCATGTAGCACGTTGTATGGACTAGCGATACATGGTCCTTCCGTCGTTGTGAACAAGGGACGCCGGAACCAGACACCAGTAACATCGACCTCCTCTCTGATGTTGGCGAGGCTCCTGGACACCTTGGTGCGTCGATGTTGAAGGGCTGTGCGGACGACTAGGTTAGCAAAGGTGTTGCAGTGAGATGAGGATGGAGGAGCGAAATCATGCCCAAATCGGGGAGGTGCTCACCATTAAGGCCACCATGGTAGCCTATAAGAGAGGACGTCGATGCTGCGGACCGCCATGATGGGTTGATGCACTACCGCAGCAGGTAGACCGGAGGGATCGCCGAGCGTGGCCAGAACAGCAGTGGAGCGATCAATTATGGACCCGTTTTGATTTCCCTAACCGTAGGTGCATAATTACTGGGTTGGTGGGGGCAGCTTCCATTCCTGATTAATGGGTGCATTTAGTGGAGAGAGAGGGAGTGGTTTCTGGCCATACAATGGAAAACAAATCTATGGTGCAGGATTGGTTTGATAAAGGGAAAACATCAGACATATGAGGGAAAGTGTTTCCCTTCACTTAATGGAAGGTCGGGGACCAAGCATGAATGATACAAAGTGTGGCCTGGACGCGGGGGCACGTTATTCATAGACTTTTCCTTTTTTTGTATGTTAAATATTTTTATTATTATTGATTGTCACGTATGCAATGTTGATCTAATGCCGATAACGGTAGCAACTGTTTTACATGTTGATTTAGGAGCATGGTTAATATTATAGCCAGCCGGGTATGTGAAGTTGTCACGTCACGACAAATACCAATAGCCAAGTATTCGGAACATTTCGAAATATATAAAAAAACTGGCTTACATGACTAAATGTGTAGTGTGTGGCTGACGCGCGCTCTGTTTTTAGGTAGTAGAGTTTTTTTGTCTCAATAAAAGGTAGTAGATATTTTTCATTTTTAATGCTTTTTTTTCAATTGGCCTCTCAGCACTGCATTTCCCAGGTCTAAAACTAAGTTTCTAATAATCCCTTTCCAGACCCACCTTGTGTGGGAGCTTCTATGCACTCGATCCGTCCTTATTCTTTTTCATTTTCATGTCCTTTTTTCAAATTCGCAAACATTTTTTAAAGAAAAATTTTGACATTTATGTTCATCAAGTTCAAAAATTGTAAAACGAATTCAAGAAATGTTCACCCATTTCAAAAAATGTTAATTAAAGTCAAATTTTGGTTCATCAAATTCAAAATTTGTTCGTTAATTTTTTTCACCATATAAAAAAATCATCAATTTTGAAGAAATGTTCCTCGAATTCAAATTTTGTTCATTGAGTTTCTATTTATTCATGAAATACAAAAAATCTTCATTGCAATTCAAAAAAAATCATATTTAGAAATTTGTGAATATGTTTTGAATCGGCGGACACTTTGGTGTCATCTGTGAACATTTTTTGAGTTTATCGATTAAAGAAACTAATAACAGTTTTCAAAATCTTGAATGTTTTTTTGGAAATCCCGAATTTGATTGAAGCAAAAAAATAAAAAAGGGAACAAATGAAAGAGAAAAACAAATGGGCCCGTGCGCCCCCATATGGGCCGGCCTAAACGGGAGCGGGGGTGCGGGTTTCAGCCCTTCCCACCGCGCTACGTAATGCTTCCATATAAACCAAACAGTCAGTTCCGATCCAAATCCCGTCGCTACTCGCCCATCCCCTTCGCCGCAGCGCCGCCGCCTCTGATCTCCACCCTCCTCGACGCGGCGACTCTGCTTTACGCCCTTACGCGGCGGAGGCAAACAGATCAAGGTATGCCCCTCCTTACCATCTTCTAGTATAGCATAGATAAGCTCGGATTCCTCGTCCACTTTCCTTCTCTTTATCTGACGGGCGTGCAACTCGCCGATATGATGACGTTCGGGTCGCGCCGACTCGTCGACGGCAAAAAAGAAACTTTTTTTTTTTACTCTCCCACCGCGCCATACGCCCCAGCCGCGACACCCTCGCCGACGAAGGAGGCGGCCGCTGTTTAGGGTTAGGGTTCCGCACCGGTGTGCTTAGAGCTCGTACCGCTCTGTACGCTCAGCTGCGAACCTTCTGACTGCGACCCAGCGATAAGTGTCGATTTGGCAAAAGTAAAATAAAAATTACTCTCTTACTGCGCCATACCCATCGTCCCCTGAACGTGCACCGGCGGGCTTAATACTTCTTTGGATCTCAGGATTGAGAAGCGTGGGAATAGGATAAACACGGAATCTGAGGTGTTTGGTACTGCAAAACTGAGGATTGCAAAACACAGAAAATTACAGGATTATTGGAAAACGCCTCCAAAAAAGGCGTTGAATTTTATGTTTCTTTTATCCAAAGGCAATCATAGGTAAACATATAAAAATTGGAGTTCTCTGGAATAGGCGCATAGTACTCCAGTCCGTAGGAAATTTAGGTGCCTAAAAATTGAATCCTACAAAAATCCTATGAAATTCCTATAATCGCTGACCCAGTTTTGGGTCCCACATTTACAGTGAACATACTTTGGTATTAATTCGTGGTTTACATGTTCAGAATGATACTAGCTACAATAGTACTTCCTCTCTTAAATATAAGAGCATAGACTCTTATATTCCCTTGCAGAGAGCATTCATGATCCGCTGTAGATGTAAACTTTGTTATAAATTTGTGGTTGTCATGCTCAGAATAATACTAGTATCAGGTTCCTCAGCGATACACTTGGAACTGAGAATAGGTTGCTGTCTATTGCATCTCACAGTTTTAGACTTAATTTGATACTCTGCGGTATGTAAGATGTTAGATTCCATCTAGACTCGGTTCTATAGAGAATTACATTTTGGTTGATGTAAGATTCCATGTGTATACAATATTCTTTTATGTCAAGCTATGCTTTTACTTTCAGGATAACACAAAATCATACTTTGAAGAGGTGTCTTGTGCCAATCACTGGAATAATGACTCCGTCGGCATCTGTTGGAAAGGAAGTCAACTTGAAGGAAGTCAACTTCAACTTGAAGGAGGATAAGAACATACCCTGTGCTATTCAGTTTGTAACGACGATGTTGGGGACGTCTTCAACATTGACGATCGGGGACCGGAACAAGAAGTTCAGGGTGAGCCGTTCTTCGACTTGGATAACGGTTGTCTTCACACAGTCTATGTTCATTGCCACCACAGCAGGTTGGATCTACGACATGTATAATAAACCTATCTGGAATGCCGGCTTCCCATGGTGGCTGCCAGTTGCTGTGTTGTTGGGCGCCTACCTGGCAGTGGTAGACCTGGCGCGTGGGTATTTGACCCTCTTCGTGCCACAGGCACCCTTGGCGGCATGGAATGCACTTGACGAAGTTGGCTTCAAGGTGATTGGATTTTCTGTCATCTTAATCTCTGTCCCTGTTTTCTTGTTTGACCAGGCGTGGCTGCACATCACCTTTGCTTGCCTTCTTAGTGTCCTCATTGCTACCATACTTGCCTTCTGTGTCTGTCTTGTTCGCACGTACCGGCAATAGCCCTCTTGGCACCTAGCGGCTTTGTTTATGGTTTGGATGTCGTTTGCTAGTAGACGAATAAGCTTGTCTCTCCAAGCCAAAGTCGCCCCTTTTGTGTAAACAGTCGGTGCCACTCATGTGTTGTTGTTGTTATTATTATTATTATTATTATTATTATGTGTGTGTGTGTGTGTGTGTGTGTGTGTGTGTGTGAATGAATGATTCATGATGTGTGTGATTGGCTGTGATATACATCCTTACTTTTTCCAGAAACTGCCCAAGAATTATGTGAGAATTATGGGAGTATTATATATCTGAGTAGCTTAAATTGATTAGAAGAGAGAAAAATAAGAGTATATGAATTGATACTTGTTCATATGTACGATCCATGATAGTTGAAGTAATAGACAGTTATAGCACAATCTTGTTCTGGGCATTAAGTTTTGGGCCTAATTGCAACCAGTAGCAACAGAGGGATTGTACGTGCTCTAAGATGAAAGCAGACTCTGTATGAAGCGGGGCGTGCGAAAAGAAATAGCAACGGGAAGAAGATGATTTTAATGGTAAGGTATCTTTATCTTGAGACGAATCGCGCGAGATTCCAGATGATGCGGAGCAAAGCGGAACCAATTTTTATGGGCACAAGAGGAAAATAACTAGTTCTCTGAATTTTGCTCAGAAACACGGGGAATGAAGAACAGTCCAGAAGGATCCAACCTTCCCGGACAAATCATCAAATAAGTCACCCGACACATAGAAACCAGAAGGATAGTAGGAAGCATTAGACTGTCACAGATATAACAAGATATGACACAAAAGCTGATAGGAAAAACTACCTCCTGGCGGTTAGAAAGTACAACCCCGTTTGTAGGAAGACAAAAAAGTATAACTTGCTAATGCTCCTGGCGAGAATCGACAAACATAATCAACCTTTCTAGTTCACAAGTATTCCATCACTGCAGCAATTGAAAACAAACTTTATATGAATGTAGCATAGATTACATAGAAAATTTGTTATACATATTATGCCCATTAAATCTTGTAAATATCACTTCCTCCGTCCCACAATGCAAGACGCTTTTACAAGCTAACATAGCTTGCAAAAGCGTCTTAAATTGTGTAACGGAGGGAATAGAAAATTCCAAGATACTTATCATGCTAATTTCAATAGAATTAAAAGCCGCAGAATAAGCTTAGAAATAACATCTACTGGAACATGTGACTTCATTTCATGTATCTAAAATGGCAAGCCACATATATTTTCGATAGCACAAGTCGCCATTTGTATGGTAAAAGGAGGATGCATGCCTCTTCTCTAATTGGAATACTGAAGATACCCGTCTTATGCATTCCTTTTGCCGCTCATGTATATCATTCAGTTTAGATTATGTATCTGTGTTCGTAGTGAAAAACAAACACATGCTCTTAGAGTTAGTTATAGAGCTAATATGAAAAGATAACGGAACATAAAAGTAAAGGAATTAAGAAACATGGGAAAGAACCAAAATAGAATGTGTGTGCATCCTTATAGAGGAGAAACTAAAAAGTAAGGCATACGTTATCTCTTGACTTCATGAAGGTAAAGAGGCACTCTGCATGCTATTGATCTACCATCCACATGTATCCCTTGATCTAACAGAATAATTCTATTATGTGCAAAAAATCATCTCAATATTAGCAGAAAGTCCATCAGAATAATCCTAATAATTAGGCCTCTCTTAAATAGGTGAGGAAGTTTTATGTTATCATGTAACCCGGGTTGTCTATTATTCCTTCCAACTAACCAAAAAATTACGGAAATGGACCACAAGAATCAAAAGATCTCTAGGAATGTGGCAAGGAACAAACATGTTTAACCTTTCCTAGCAAATAACAAACTATGAAAGCCACAACATAAAAGCAAGTTATTTCCCCTAACTAAACCCTCTTTGCAAAACTAAATCAAGAAGCAACACACATGTATATTCCACTTGAGGAGAGAACCTACATTTTTTATCAGTACATAAGCTTCAGCCAAAAGAGAGCAACTACTATATTACATGACAACCATGAAGGAAATAAATCTTTAATGTAAGCATATCACCGAAGATAAAAGCCTGTACAAGGGTACGATTTTTGAAAAGATAATAGGTCCATGTGTTGACAAACAACTTGCCACCTCCCGAATAAAATTTTGTCCAACCAAGACACAATATTCTTCAAGTCACATGTTGAGTTGCCTGTCATTTTTAGCAAACCACTTGAACCCTTCTCAAAATCTGAAACTCTTTAGTTAGCTTCAAATCCATGAATATGGGCATCCGTATCATGCGAGTGATTCAGAGAAGCCGAATATGATCATATCAATGAACGGCCAAAGTGTATACGCATGTTGCGCTAACCACACACTTCAAGCCTTGAAGAAAGAATACATACAGAGAGCCAATCTATTGCCGCAATCATTAGAAATTGGCAAATGGTGGAAATAAAGGACATTAAGTCTTGAATTTTGCCTCTATACACATAGTGATGGCAATTTCTAATACGAGCATAGGTGTGTGCTCACTAAAAAAGTACCTGAATGCATGAAAGACTAACATTGTGAGGACCCCGCCTTACACAGTCGAAGCCACCAATTGTGCGTGCACAGTGATCCCAAGGATCAATGCTCAATGTACACAATGAACTGAATATCAAGAGTTTACATCCATTACATGCGCCTTACACAAATAGGACCATTATGGTCAAGTAGTACATATATAAATCCTTAAGGGTAAAACATCAAATAAAAGGTCGCAGCAGAAATCTTCGTCAATAACTTGGACCCATGCCATCTGCCTTAACCCTACATGCATTCTGATTGAGAAAGCGTTCTAGTTCGCATGTTCGTCACCGAAGAACTCTTCTTAAAACTCTTGCTCTTCCATGCATGTGCAAGTTAATAGACAGGGACAAGCCAATGAGTACTTTTGAATGTACTCACAAGCAACCCATGATTGATAACAAAATAATATGCAAGGCTCTATTACTAAGTTGGCATTTTGCGGAAAGCTAGTTTTGCTTATGCAAGTATGATCAATATTGCTTAGAAATCACGAATGCATCTGCAACAAGTGTTAAGAGGTTACATACATCAACATCGAGATTATGAACAACTCAGTCTTAGAAATCATGACTTCCTCACGAATCTAAGTGAAGCATGAGAGCATTTCTTCAAAATTAAACCACCACCATGCTCAAAAATATATAAGTGAAGTACCAGATCAATTCCATAGCTCAAAAAATTTAAGTGAAGCACATAGAGCAATTCTAACAAATCATTGCATCATTATGACTCTCTCAAACAGGTGTGTCCAACAAGGATGATTGTGACAAACTAAAAAGCAAAACAAGCGAAAACTCATATAATGCAAGACGCTCCAAGAAAAACTCATGATATGTGACGAATAAAAATATAGCTCCAAGTAAAATTACCGATGGTCATTAGAAGAAAGAGGGGATGCCTTCCAGGGCATCCCCAAGCTTAGTTGCCTGGTACTCCTAGAATATTACCTTGGGGTGCCATGGGCATCCCCAAGCTTAGTCTCTTTTCACTCCTTATTCCTTCATCCATCATGATCTCACCCAAAACTTGAAAACTTCAATCACACAAAACAACAAAACCTTCGTGAGATCTGTTAGTATAATAAAGCAAATCACCACTTTAAGTGTCATTGCAAACCCATTCATATTTTATTATTGCATTATACCTACTGTATTCTAAATTTACCATGGCTTATACCCCCCGATACAATCCATAGATTCATCAAAATAAGCACACAATGCAACAAGGACATAATCCGTCAAAAACAGAACATTCTGTAGTAATCCGGACTTTAACCATACTTCCGTAACTCCAAAAATTTCGAACAATTAGGACAACGTGGGCAATTTGTATATCAATCATGTATAAAAAAATTCAAGACTTTGGTCGCGCAAATTGCATGCCTATCTATCCGGTTTGATGCGTTGGGAGATATTGTTGTACGTGCAAGTGTACAACCACCGCCTGCTGTACAACCTCATGCCGTACTACCACGCCACCATACTGATGTTCATGCTCGCCAACAAGGGGTACGTGCACATGCTATTTTTAGAGGAAAGGCATGCGCCCAACTTTATAAATAAAGCCACCAGGCAGTGTTCCAGACAAATCATAACCAACAGTCACGATCACGCCCAACCAAGGGCAACATGAAGTTATGAAAGTATGAGGCACGGGGCACCCAGGCCAGCAACAAGGCACGCAGGCCGGAAGAGAAGATGAACCGACATAAAACGACATAGCCAACAGCTAAGTCAAAAGAAACGCTAAGGCATCTATGCAGCTGGCTCCTGCCTTGATAGGGAAGACGACGAGGCCCGAATTTTAGAGAACAGAAGGTCAAAAGCGTCCTGGTCTTCTGTCTTAGTCAATGATCTCCACTGCTGCAGGAACAAGCAATATTTAAATAAGCAATCATCATGTTTAGCAGGAAAAACATGCTCGATGGAAAATTTGTTTCTGGTAGTCCACAAGGCCCAGCAAATCGCCGCCAGTCCGACCCAAAATAATGGCTTAGTGACTCCAACCAGGTCATTGGCGAGGATCCGAAGCTCAGAGAAAGAAGATGGTGCCCATGACACCTGAAGCCACGACCTAACACAGCTCCAGACCAGCTTACCCAAAGCACAATGAAAGAAAATATGGTTTGTGTCCTCCAGGGCACCACAGAGGGCATGGTACTCCGATCCCGGGCCATTACGTTTACGAATTTGGCTAGCCGCAGGGAGGCGACCTTTGAAGGCTTGCCAGAGGAAGATCTTCACTTTAGGGGGAATACGAGCCCTCCAGATCAGATTAAATCTGTTAGTGGGGGTACCACCAATAAGCTTAGAATATAAAGACTTAACAGAAAAAACGACCAGATGAAGCGTGGGACCAGACCACCGTGTCAGCTGTCTCTAAAAGCATGGGGAAGAAGGCGGTAAGCCGCCACTAATCTTCCAACTCTGCAGGGGAC